CCCCCCCCCCCCCCCTGAAATTTTGAGGCGAAAAATGTTCCCAATTTGGTAAAATAATTTTCTTAATTTACTTATCGCTTGTATACCAATTTTTCAAGAATTATTTGAAGGAATTATATTTTATTAAATACAAAAATAAAGAACTTTCGAAACAAAAGATCACTGATCTCCAGAACGAAAATGTGATTTTGATGAATTATCTATTTCTATTTCTTAAATTGAATTCCAAGTTAGCCAGAATTTTTCCACCATTTAAGCGTCCAAACTTACAATCTTTCTTTATAATTAGGCATATCTATGGTGCAAAGCTATAACTTTATGTTTCTGGTGCAAAGCTATAACTTTTTACTTATTACACAATTTTGGTTCTGGTATTTTTATCTCTTAAAAAGAAACAATGGTGCAAAGCTGTTGGATCTTTAATAACGCTCTCTTCGCAGTCAAATTTAACCGCGTCTCAATGAATGTTGCCTTTTAAAACCATCCTTACCTGAACTTTGAAGCTCCTTGTATAATTTTGCAAGTTCTTATATTGCTACTAATTTAGCACTGTTATTTTATTATATTAATCTTTGCTGATTCAGTTAATTGTTGTGTTCGTCTACACATTTAAAAACAGAAAATCAAAATGTACATATGTTTTTGATAAATATATATTAATTAAGTTTATTTTTATTTGTTATTGTACTTTTTTTAACAATAAATAGATTTGATTAATAAGTTACTCTAGAGATAAATAACAAGAGGAAAATCAGCATTATTTAATCTCGAGATTAAGAAAAAGAGTGGAACAAGAATTAATCCCGATATCCACCATTCTAAAGTTTGCTTTGTATAGCACTAATGTTACATCGTCTACGCAATTCATCCCCCCTATTGAACTTCTGACCTACTAACTTTCCGACCTACTGCAATATCGAACCTACGCCAGCTGTTTATTCTAGTATTATTTGAGGGTTAGTATTTCTGGGCCGAGCGCTGTGGCTAGGACAGGCTAAGGGGCCGAGCGCCGCGGCTGACAGGCTAGGGGGCCGAGCGCCGCGGCTAGGACAGGCTAGGGGGCCGGGCGCTGCAGCCACGCCCACAAGTCCATATAGCAGCTGTAATACCACTTGCTAGTAGGTCGGATGTGTAGTATAGCGGATTTGGCGTAGGTCAGAAGTGGAGTATGGCGGATATGTGTAGGTCGAAAAATACACCACCATACATCTAGAATATTTTATGTCGTCTTTGCTTGAGACCAAACCTGAATCCTGGTCGGTACAATACAATTGAAAACTAATGGAGGAAAAATCCGTCTGTCTCGATATGATTCGGCAAAAGTTTTCTCCTTTGTTTTCGCTTTGAGATCAAATTCGACAACTACATTGTTGTTTTTCTTTTTATTCCTGAAAAATATTACAGCAGGCTAATTTATAATAAAAAAGTTAAATTGGCAGTAAAATGATATTTTCAGATAGTTAGAATGTCCGGCTCAATAAATTGATATTTTACACATTGTTCGTAATTTCAAATTTATATATTTGTAAATTCTAAATAATTATCTCTTTTCCTTAAACTGTGTCATTATATTCAAATCAGTTTTGAATCCAAAAATAATCTTATTGTGTTATTTTCAAAACCACTGACTCAGATAAATAATTGCCTAGCTAATATGGTCACATCTTATTTAGAATATATGTATTTTGTTTTCAGATTAAATTAACCTATAATGAAATGTTTTCATTATAAAAGATAAAACCTAGAACCTGGATTCTGATATTCAGAATGAATTAGCAGGGGATAGATTGAAGTTATAAGATTGGTAAGCTCATCCTTGAAATTATTTGATATTTATTCACATGAATTATTAAATATTAAACGTTGGATATTTTGTGAAGTTTATTTTTGTTTAATTAAACTTAAAATATGTGAATCTTTTCGTAGTAAATATATTTATTTTGATTTAATCAGGCCCGTAGCCAGGATTTGACCAGGGGGGGTGCAACCTGATGCGCTGCAGGCGAAAAAATTTTTTGGGGGGTTTTTAATGATTTTTTTAAACAATGTTTGGTTTGGTTTTACAGTGGTATATGGTTGTTTTTATTACATTGTCAATGCACACTATAAAGGCTAACCTTTTTAACAAGTGTATTTGAGCTTTTAAGAGAGTACTGCTTAACTAACAGAGTCAAGTAATCATTTATTACTTTGACTTTACAATATGTAAATGATATGATCTTATTTCTTATTCATTTAAAAAAAAGCTTTTCAAGGGTCAAGACGGCCTTGAAATCGGCAGAATTTTACCGTAAATATTTATTTCTGGCTCGAGCGCCGAGGCCAGGACAGGCTAGGGACCGGCCACAAGCCAATATATTGCTCATGTCTGTATTTTATGAAATGGGAGGAGTTTTCACAAATTCTTCCAGGAAATCTTTTTTTTTTGCTCCGACAAAATTCTTATGGGTACTATATGGGAATCGAACAAACTACTCATTAAAATAAGAGGGTGAATTGAAATCTGTCAACAGTCAATTCAAGCTTTTTTTGTTTGCTACAAAAGTTTCATTATGGCTAGTTTTCTTCTTCAAACTTTGATTAAGCAATGTAATATACAAAAATAGAGTAGGAATATACATTGTAAAATTCGCAGAAAATTTAGTTCATTTAATGATTAATATCCCGGGAAAATGTTATTTTTACAAAACTAATCTTTAATTTGTTTTCAGGTAGTTCTGGAAGTAAGTTTAAACATCGGGGAGTTCTTCCCTCGCCTCCCATATCCTTGTCAGGTAACTTAGTTATTTAGGGATATATGTCATATTTTTTGATAATTACAAGAATATTTGGACGAAACTGGGCTCAGTGCAAACATACCCAACATCTTTGGTGGAACTGATTTTCAAGAGGGAGGGGCAAACATTAATAATTTTCAATTATTGATTGGATAAAGCAGGAGTATGAAACCTTTACAAGTTGGAGTTTTTAAAGTTTTAAAATGCAATATGGAAAATGACATCTTATCGTTTTTTCATCCAATGCATTATTACACCTCATGCGTAAGCTAAATACAGTTTTGATAAGAAAGTTTGAACAAAAGAATTTTTTTCTTGACTTAATTTATTGATAAGAATAGTCTTGATTTAAATTTTAAAAAGAATTATCGACACTTTCATGGTAAATCAAGATAACTCTTTAAAAATAGTTAAAAACAGGAAACATGTAGGCCAAAAAATGATACAAACGCCTAAAATGATATTTAATCAAATATATTTAATGTTGATATATACAGAGTAGCGCAACATTGAAATGGGGTTATAAATTGGAAGATATAAAATTATTCTACCCTGTCATAGTACTTAATTAGAAAATATAATAGGTTAAATTGAAAAGTCGATTAAGAAAATAAAGATTTACTTCACAAACGTATATCTTTGATTAATGATTTATGCATGTAAAGATTTCACATTAGATTTGTTTCAGGCAAATTGTTTTTTGATTTTGACTGTCCGATTCCTAAGATGGATGATTTAATGGAGACAACAGAGCCTGACTCAACTACGATCAACAATGGCGTGGTAATTTAATCATTTATCTTTTTATTCTCGACTAGAAATCCCTTTCTTCGTTTTTTTTATAAAGGGAGAGACCGGCTAGACATGGTGCAAAAATATCAAAACATCAAATGCCTAATTATGGAGTACAAACGCAGTACGTTTCAGTTAGGTCTACAAGCTAGAAATGTAAACAAAGCCGAGAAAAATCATAACGGATCGTACTGCATTGTTCATCTCAAAACCGGTTAAATGTCAACAACAAAGAGGAAACGATAAGAGAACAAAAGAGAAGAGAAGAGTAGAAAAGAAAAGATAAGATAAGATAATAAAAAAGAGAACAAAAATTTTAGAAAAAAGAAGAAAAAAAAGATCAGAAAAAATAGAAGAAAAAAGAAGAAAAGAGAAGAGAAGAAAAAAGAAGAAAAGAGAAGAAAGGAGAAGAGAAAAAATAGAAGAGAAGAGAAAGAAGAAAAAATAGATTGCGTGAAAGAAAGAGCGTGCAATTTACAGACGTTTAATCATAAAAATATATTTAAGAATACCTTAAACTTAAAAATTAACTTTATTGTAAAATTGTATGATATTTTTGAAAAAAAAATAGTTGTCCTAACTGTTTAAGAGTACCTTTTTTTGATTATTTAACGATTTTTGATCATTTGGCATTTGATATTCTGATATTTTTGCGACATGGTGGCTAAGTTGAAAGAGCAGTATATTGTAGAGAATAGCTTAAGGATTCATTTGATACCAATGAAACATTTCTACGGTGTAAAATTTTTAAAAAAGAACGGGTATTCGTTTTTAATATTTCACCAATTGTTTCAGCTGGCAAAAGAACCTTTTCTTACAATTATTCAATTATATAAAAAATTATATATAGTAAAAGTCTTTTAAAAAATTATATAGACTTTTACTGATAAGGAACATATTTCTTAAAAGAAATTGTCGATGAAATACATAGTAGAACCGTAGAATCGATAATGTTATTATCACTATTATCTCTGCTGTTTCTATAATTTTATTCGCAGATTTTTTCAAAATGTCGTTTTCACATTTAAAATAAAGAAAACCTCCAACAAGTGACTCTAGCTGAATGAAATTGCATAAACCTTCGAGAATTTAAAATGAAAGATAATAACTTATTTTCAGTGATTTAAGTTCTTTTTTTCTCAACGTGTTCGTTAGTTAAATAGTATTTGTTCCATGTTTTTCCGGCCATGTTATTTAAGAATTAAAAAAACGTTTCTTCTGCTGACTAGACAACTGGTGAAATATTATAAATGACTTTACGCTTATTTATAAATTGTACACCGTAAAAATTTCTCATTGGTATCAAACGAATCCTTAAGTTTTTCTCTACAATACCGCACTTTCACCTCAACACTATGTCTAGCCGGTCTCTCCCTTTAAGAAGATCGAAAAAGCTTAGGAACAGAATGCCTTCCAGGCCCAGTGGCTGACCTCACAATTCAAGATTGAAAAAAATTGGCTTATTTTGTGTAGAAATTTAAATGGAAATCAGAAAAATACTGGGGTGTATATTTTTCAGAATTACCTTCCTCCCAAGGGGGGGGGGGATAATTTTTGATGATGGGGGGGGGGAATTGAAAAATTGAACATCTTATGGCAATTTTTTTCAGTCTTTTTTAAAACTTAACAGTTTATTCCCAAAAATTCATTTTTTCCCCAATTCAGCCAAAAAAAAACATTAAAATGTTAACTTGTGGGGGGAAAGGGGGGGGGTCAGAGAATGATTCATATATTATACACACTGAAAAAATATGTGGGAAAAATGTGAATCAAGACCTGACCTACCAATATACAGCTGGGGGAACCCTACTATAGATCCATGTCAATTTGTTCCTAAATCTGCCTAGAATATATCGTATTAACCTGATGATCGTTTTCTATTGTTTCCCACATTCATGGAACAACTAGACAGGAAGCAGAGTTGACGCGTACGGGCGTCTGATAAGCCGGTACGCGTCGTTTGAAAATGCTCAATGCCGGAACCTTTTTGTACAAGATGCACAGTGGGCGTACAGTAGGGCGCTATCTCAATCTTNGATAGTTGGTCGAAGTCACTATAAATAAACCCACTGTGAACAGTTGATTTTGCAGAAATAGTGTGCGCAACATCTATGATAACCCTAATTCCTACAGGAAGATTGATTGATTATCTTAATTTATACACGTATATACAGCTGTCTGATTAGTAAATCTGAGCCAGGCTAATTAGACAGGGCGGACCGCGCCGACAATTCATCCTACAGTTGATCCATGCCCACATTGCTATTCCAAAATCCTTATTATTCAAACTGAACCGAACCCAAAGCTCTATTTTTTTGCGAATCTGAGTAAATACTTTATTTTGTCTGGTTCAAGGTTGATGAACCAGAGCCTATTGAGGAGGATGTTGATCCTAAACCGGAGGCTGAGGAGGGACCTGAGGATGACGACGAGGCCAGATCGGAGGCCACCTTCAGGTCAGTACAATGTTTACATAAACACTTTTATTCCAGGATTTTTCTAAAGACTTAAAACCGTAATGCTAATATTGTAATCTTGATTTTATATTTTAGCTCCAGCATTTGAGAAGAAATTTGGTTATTGAGAAAGTGTTGCCTGACCCCCCCCCCCCC